AAACCGTGGGAGGCCTGTCAGTTTAATGCTCAGGCATAGGTGAGAAATCATGTTAGGAAGGCAGAGAAGGAAGCAATGAAGAGGACGGAGATGGAACTGAGAAGTCCTGGGTGTCCCCAACAGTGCCCCATTTGGGAAACACTAGTGTCAGCAAATGGTTCAGGGATCAAAGCAGGTTGGGGGGTGGTAGGTGGCTATCATTCGTCCGTGGCCAGATGGCCCTGCTCATCCTGGGTCCTTCCCACCTTCCTGCCAGTGCCCAGAGATCAAAACTCAACCTTCTCCAGCATTCTGTGACCTGTTTCTTTAATGCCAAGATCAAAGGAGAACTTTTGTCCAAGTTGTAAAAAAGAAACCAAGAGGCAACTTAATGTTGTCTCAGTCTCCTTTGTACTTCCTGAGAGGATTAAGGTGCTCCTTTAAAGGGACTCCTCAGAGAAACACATCTGAACCAGGGCCTGGGGTCGGCACCTTAACTCCAAGGACACAGCGGCTCCTGTGGAATCCAATCCATACCAGGTAGGGCAACTGGAGAGATCAAAGAGGCAGCACACCCAGTAGACAGCAGCTGGGAAAGACTACAGACACTGTGATCACGGGGGAAAAAAAAAACACTTAAATTTGAGTATTCTGAAGTACAGAATTTTCAACCTGAAATTTTGAAACCATTAAGTCCAAACTTTAATCTCATATATGACACTTGTGGAAACAAACCAAAAAAACACCAAAGTGACTTGCCTCAGGCCACAAAGTGGATCGCTGTCAGTGCTGGGACTAAGCCCAGACTGCTGACTCGGGCTCCAGGGCTCTGTTCTCAATGAGCAGATACCAAGCCACACGCGAGGCCCGGACAAAACAGCAACTTTCCCACACATGGGACTGCTGGCAGAGTCCAGGCCTCCTGCACTCCAGCCCTCTACCATCCAGATTGAGCCATTAAAAACAGTTCCTGTGCTTCTGACTGGAACTGCTGGGATGGGGGTAGTTGGCTACACTGCCTCCATCTGTCCAAATGAAGCTTGTGGTCATTCGGCCCATTCCCCTGCTTCTGGACTGGATCAAACCCAAATAACTTCAAAACACTGTGACCTGAGCTAGCAATTCCACTCCTAGGTGCACACCCAAAAAACTGAAAATATGTTTGCACAAAAAAACATATATGCACATAAATGTTCACTGCCACGTTCTTCACAACAGCCAAAAGTCCCAGCGTCCATCAACAGATGAAAGGATAAACAAAATGCGGTCTATCCACACAGTGGA